GGACTTTTAAAAAATAAAAGATTAGAGGAGAGAAAAAATGGTGGCGGAGTGAATGGAAGCTACACAGACGATCTCCCAGGACCAAACGGGAATTACAACTAAAATAAAGACAAATCCTTGGAAAAAAGCAACAGAAAAGCAGCGGGAAGGACCATATAACCATATCGAACCAAAAAAGATCCCGAATAGCTACAGCAATTTTGAAAAAGGACAAAGTAGGTGGGATCACAATACTGAATATCAGGTTATACTACAAAGCTACTGTAACCAAAACAGCTTGGTACTGGCACAAGAACAGGCACATAGATCAATGGAATAGAACAGAGAACCCAGAAATGGACCCAAAACATTATGCTCAATTAATATTCGACAAAGGTGGCAAGATGGAGTAAAGACAGCCTCTTTGATAAATGGTGTTGAGAAAATTGGACAGCTACATGCAAAAAAAAAAAAGAAACTAAACCATTAACTTACACCATACACAAGAATAAACTCAAAATGGATAAAAGACGTAAATGTGACTCGTGAATCCATAAGAATCCTAGAAGAAAATGTAGGTAACAAAATTTCGGACATCATATGCAGCAGAATTTTCACTGATACATCACCTAAGGCAACAGAAACAAAGGATAAAATGAACACATGGGACTACATCAAACTAAGAAGCTTCTGCACAGCAAAAGAAACAACCACCAAAATGGAAAGGCAACCCACTGTATGGGAGAGCATCATTGCCAATGATATATCACATAAGGGGTTAATTTCCAAAATATATAGAGTACTCATACAACTCATCAAAAGGAAGACAAAGAACCCAATTAAAGAGGAACTAAATAGACACTTCTCCAAACAGAACATACAAATGGCCAAGAAACATATGAAGAAATGCTCAACATCACTAATCAACAGAGAGATGCAAATTAAAACAACAATGAGGTATCATCTCACACCTGTCAGAATGGCCGCCATCACAAATCATCAAGCAACAAGGGTTGGTGAGAGTGTGGAGAAAAGTGGACTCTAGTACACTGCTAGTGGGAATGCTGACTGGTGCAACCACTATGGAAAACACTATGGTGTTACCTCAAAAAATTAAAAATTGAATTGCCGTTTGACCCAGTGATCCTGCTTCTAGGAATATACCCTAAGAAGCCTGCTACACCAATCAGAAAGAATATATGTACCCCCATGTTCATAGCAGCACTATTTACAATAGCTAAGATATGGAAATAGCTCAAGTGTCCATCAGTAGATGAATGGATAAAAAAGCTGTGGTACATATACACAATGGAGTACAATGCAGCTGTAAGAAAGAAAGACCTCTTATCCTTTGAGACGATGTGGAGGGACCTGGAAAGTATTAGCCTAAGTGAAACAAGCCAAGCAGAGAAAGACAAGTATCATATGATCTCACTTATTTGTGGAATATAATGAACATAACAGTCTGAAGAACAGGGTAGTCTCAGAGACGTGGAAGGAAATAGGGTACAGACTGACAATCCCCAGAAGAGGGGTTGGGGGGAGAGATAAACTATAGAACTTATATGCACATACGCATAACCAATGGACATGGACAATAAAGCTGGGGACAGGGCAGGGAGGGAGAGGGGGGAGGGTGTCAATGGGGGAAAAATAAACAAATAAATAAATAAATAAATGTTATTCTTGCTAAGTGTAAATATATATATATATATATATATATATATATATATATACTTTGAGTAATCAGTTGTGAAGAAGCATTAGTTGCAAAAGTTATTCTCTAATGAAATGGCAGTATGTTAAATATAAAATAAAATAGCTGATAATGAAAAAAATAAAAAGAAATAAAAGTTTAAGTATTGAAAGCTTAATGAGAGCCCTAAACTGGAGATAATCTAAATTTCCACCCACAGTTGAACAGATAAACAAACGGTGGTATATCCATACAATATCCATACAATTCCTACTCAGCGGTAAAAGGGAACAAACCGCTGACAACCACATAGACGAATCTCAAAAGCATTCGTGAAAGAAGCCAGACATAAAAGCCAGACACTGCACTACAGTGACAGAAAGCAGGTCGCCGTTACTAGGACCAGGAATGGGAGACTGATTGAAACACAGAAGAACTTTTGGTGGTACAGGAAATGGTCTATATCTTGATTATGGTGATGGTTACACGTGTACATAAATCTGTACACTTCACTCCTCCCTACCTTCCTTCCCTCCCTCTCTTCCTCCCACCACTCCCCTTTCTTTTTTCTGCAGGGGACTGTCATGGATGCCCGGAGATGTGTCTGAAGAAGCCAGTGGGCTAACATTTGGACCAGCCTCTGTCCTCATCTCCCTCAGCTAAGTCTGTGGTCCCAGGGCTGCTGTGTGGCACAAGTCAATGGGGCACGTTAACATCATAATGTCACATGACTGCCACCCCTGGAGCTGTGCTGTGCACAACCTAGGCAGCCATACACTGCAGGCTTGGTGGCACACTTTGCATGATGACAAAGTGACAAATTAAAGAACAATGCCCCACTTTTACATTTCTACCCAGCCTCAGAGGGAACCAGGCTTACATCTATGTTCTTCTGGCCAAATCCCTCCAACCCAGTCACCTTCAGAACCTTGAAACATATTGTCAACATCTTGGGAAAGTGTTGGAAAAGGGCTAGAAATGGAGTAGAAACGGACTCAGATTCTTCTGCACCCAGGAGCAAGAGCCAAACTGACCAGGTCATCTTTGACCCCCAACTCCTCCCTCTCATTGGCTCCCACATTTAATCCTGGAGATGTTTCCTCATTCTATAGCTGAGGTCACCCCTGCACCCTCTGACCAGTTTCTTGGCTAGAGCACTGGACCCGTCTCCCCTTCCAGCCCTTCCAATTTGTCTCATTATATCTTCCCAAACCTAACCTGAACCAACGTGGCATTTCCTAAACCTCTGTGAGAACGAAGGTCCCTACCAGCTCTGCACGAGCCCACATGCCTGCTTTCTTCACAAAACTTGCTGCTCGGAGGGTGAACACCGCTCCCACCACCTGGGGGTGGTGATCACATAGTGAAGCAGAGACCTTGCTGTATGCAACTTTTCTTATATATATTTGCTTTTTTTTTTTGAGCAGATCCATGGCTTTCATAAGCTTTTCAAAAAGATCCAAATAGTTTAAGAACCACATGGAGTAGAATGTTACATACTTTTTCATGGTTGGTAGCTAATGTAGGTAATGATCCATTACTTTAGGCTGCAGGATCCCATTCATTTAGTTGTCAACTATTTACTGAGCATCTACTGAGCATGCTAGCTAGCTACTGCTCTAAGTTCTGAGGATACAGCAGCAAACAAAACAGACAAAAATTTCTGCCCTTGGCTGTTTACTTTTCACGGGTTAGAGACAGCCTGAGACTGTATGAAGCATTGAGTGAAACAGGCTAAATATTTTAAGTTTTGAGCTCTAGGAAGGTCTAAGAACCCTGTGAACTCTATCAGTTCAAGTTCTAAGAAATCTATGAAGTTCTGAGTTATGAACTCTTTGGGGGTCCTGACGTCATTGGTGATAGTGGGCACAGCAGCGGTGATGACAGCTGCCAGAGCAGGAGCTCAGGGACCAGCCTGGGGCTGCCCCAAAGGGTACCTTTTACTGCTGAGCCAAGAGGCAGGCGGCGGGGTTGGCCTATGATGAGCAGCAGGTGAGAAGGCAGGAGAGAACCGAGCTGCCCCCACCCCGTGCCAGCCCAAATCACTGGCCCTTTGGAGGCTCGCCTCCCTCAGCCCTCCCAGCTCATGTCCAGCTAGAGGCCTGGGGTCCCAGGCTAGGCCAGGGGCACAGGCTAGGACTCAGCCACCTTCTCTCAAGCTGGAAACCAGAACTAGGGTCTTCTTCCCTAGTTCAGGACACAGGAGGCTTCCTTGAGAAGGTGTCCCCGGTTGAAGGAGGAACGGTGACTTTGGTCCTGGAGAGCATGCTTGGGTGTGAGAGAGTGTGAGGCAGGGGTGCAGCCAAAGAGCACGCTCCTGGTGTGGGGGGGGGGCAGTAGGAGCAAGTGTTCAAGCAAGTGTGCCAGCTGGGCCACGGAAGGGTCCCAGGCGGCCCAGGGGCGGGGCTGAGGAGAGCCAGGCTGCGAGGCTGCGAGGCTGGAGAGCTCCCGGTCAGGGGGATCTCCTCTCCACAGACCTAAATCTGCCCATGCTGGGGAGGCTCCAGATCTTTGGAGGGCTCCAGGTGGGTCAGGGAAATGAGAAACAGAGAAGAGAGAGAGTTGCCCGGATCATTGGCTGAGTCTATGAAAAAGGCAGGTTCAGGCGTCGGAGTTCCCAGCCAGGTTCCCGCGACCACTGCCCGTCCCTGGCCAGCAGACAGGTGCTCCGCGGCCCGCCCTCGCCAGGAACGTGCACGTTCACTCTGCTCTGATACGTGGCTACGCCCTCTGGACACACCCTGCTGGGGATGGTGAGACTATCTGCATGGGTGGAAGCTGTACACATGACATGGGAATGTGGCCCAAGTTTAAAAAGTGCAGCGTGAGTGATTAGCAGGGAGACGATGCGCACACCCAGCAGCTGGAGACTGGCCAGGACTGGCCACTGGCCCACAGCCTCCGTCCCTGAGCAGAGAAGGGTGGTTAGCCATGAGGTTAGCAAAAAGGACGAGGGAATTAGTGACCCAGATGGCAACCCATGTGGCCCCCTTTATTCTCCATAGCACTGCATCTGGGAGCGGGTGGCAGGGGCTGGGAGGAGAGCGGGCAGGGGCTGGGAGGAGAGCGGGCAGGGACTGAGCCCACGCACAGGTGCAGCTGCACAGATGCAGCTTCACTTTGGGTCTCAGTTTGAGGAGAGCAGCCTGCACCTTAGCTCTCACAGCTCCCGTTCTGGTGAGGGTCTGGGGTCCTTCCGCGTGTGGGGTGGGCCCTGCGACTAGCCTCTTGCCTTGACCCCCTCTGCACACTCCAGTGTAAAATGAGTACTGCTCACTTCTGCCCCACACCCCCAAGAGCCCCTGGAGAGACATACCACCCCAGCTTCCCCAGAAACACATGCGAGAGGGGCTCTGCCCCAAGTTCAAGCTGCGGGTCTGCAGGAGCTGTTCAGGTGCTGGTGGCCCTAAGGCAGGTCCCAGCAAGAAGGGAAACAGAAGCCCCGCAGAGTCCCCTCCTCCCTCTATCAAGCCCCGGTCTGTAGCCCCACAGTCCCTCCTGTGTCACAGTCCTCCAGCTCCAGCCGGGGTCTGCCTCCAGCCCTGGTTCCCCGCTGCCGCCGGTCCAGAGCCAGCTGGAGGGCCTGCTTGAGGGTCTCCGCGTTGTTCAGAACGTTGTATCGGCTCAGGGCCACCAGCCGATCAAACTCCTCGGGCTCATAGGTGAAGTTCATCATGCCATAGGGGGTGTCTGGCCCGTTGATGTCAAAGTCCCCAAAGGCCTTCTCCTCAGCTGTTCGTCTCTCCACACCTGTGGGTTGGAAGAGGAGGAGAGACCAGTCTGGGGTGCGCTGTGGCCAGGAGCTGCCATCTGAGGAGGCCCCCTTGCCTGAGGACATCTGGCTGGTTCTTGGTGGGTCCTTCCTGGGCTCACATCTCCACTCTCTTGCCCGTCAGGAGGAGCCGGGCCAGGGCCGATGCTGAGGCCCAGGAAGCAGAGGGCAGCAGTGGCCAGCGCGGGCCCTCCAGGAGGCATGCTCTGCTACCTTGTCAAGGGGATCCACTCTCAGAACAGTATCCCATCCCCACCCGGGGCTCTGTGGACCAGACCCAGGCCCAGGGCTTCCCCTCACCTGGGGCCAGGTGTGTGCGGAAGGTGCGGTTGACGAGGGGGAAGTGCAGCACGATGGGTGAGCGGGGGTCCTCGGCCCTGGCAAACAGGTAGCACTCACGGGGTTCCTCCAGGTCCTCAGGGAGCACCTCGATTCTGGGGAAGGGGATGCCTCGGTCCAGGCAGTACTTCTCTGTCACCTGTAAGACCTGGGCAGGGAGGTGAGCTTCTGACCCTGCCTGCCCCCACCTGGACTCACGCAGGTCCAGTTTCGAGGGCAGCTCTGCCCCCTGCTAGCTGAGTGACTTCGAGCAGGTGGCATACCCTTTCTGAGCCAGTTTCTTTATTTATAAAATAAAAATAAAAATGGGAATAACTCTCTAGCGAGTTGTTGCGCAGATTAACAATAAGCACCAGCATCCTCGGTCACCCTCCCTGTAACTACCACGGCATCCCTTCTCTGGCCCTCCCTGCTGCCTCTCAGGGGGCTGTTGCAGTTTCACAAGGTTGAGACCGAATGATTACAGAAGGTCACATGGGACCCAAGAGGAGGAGGAGGAAAAGGTTCAAAGGGGGAAGAGCTGGCCCAACAGCATGATAGTAGCCACGTCCAGGTGGTGAAACCTGTCCACCACCACATAGGGTTTGAGAGACCCCTGAGGGGACTCTGATGGCTCTGTTGTTACCATAGTAACAAAGGGACAGCAGACCCAGACCCAGTCCTTAATGGGAGCAAGAAATACTATCAGGAGCAGGCAGGACAGAAGACACCTGAGGACCCTCTCTGGCCTCCCCTCCTGACTCCCAGCCCCTCCCCTAACCTCTCCTCCAGCCGGGACCAGTGCCACCGCACACAGTGTGCACAAGGCACCCCTGCAGGTGGAACCCACACCCTCCGCCAAGCGCCATCCCCAAACACCCAGTCAGGCTGCCCTAACAGAGCACCCCCACCCCTACCTCAAAGGGGGCATCCAGGGAGTAGTCGAAGGACACAATGAGGTCCACGGCTCTGTGCGGCACCAGGCTCAGCGGGAAGGGAGAGTTGATGGCAAAGCCCCCGTCCACCAGGCACAGGCAGTCCCGCATGGGAGTGAGCTGGTTGGGGAAGGCGTCCGGGTGTGTGTCTGCACAGGGACAAATGATTTCATTTCTTAGCAACCCCTTCTCTTCCCGCTGGGAAGGCCCCTCTCTAGGGAGATTTCTGCTTCTGCCCTTCTCTCTGACCGCCACCCCGGGTTCTTCCACCCCAGTTCCAGCCCAGTCCAGTCCTCCCTCCATCCGCTTCTGGACAGCAGGAGCCCACACCCCAACCCCAGGTCCAAAGGCAGCGCTGGCCCCAGAGAGCCAGAGGCACAGGCAGCTGGAGGGCCCGGCCCAGAGCAGCGCCCACCTTTCCAGGCCACAAACTCCCTGCTAGCCACATAGTCCTTGTGCAGACAGAGGCCACGGGCGAAGTTAAAGCTCTCGGCACAGGTAAAGCGGGAGGTGAATATGTCCAGCACCGCCTGGGAGAAGGGCCCCTGGGGGGTGAAGAGCCTCGTCCGCAGCCTCGTGGGGTCATTCAGCTGAAGCTTTTGCCGGTCGTCTAGTGAGGGTGGGACAGTGAAAGGCAGTGAGAGGTGGTGCCAGCCTTCGTCCAGTAGCCTTTGTGTCTCCGGAGAGTCTCCTACTTCTCCTGACACCCCTTCTCCTCCCCAACCCCACTTCCCAGTCCTCTGACCACTACTCCCCAGAACCCCCTATATACGCCTTTTTTTCCTTTCATGCTTCCCATGTTCTGAAAGTTGCCTATGACATTGCATTTATTAAATAATAACTTATTCCCATCCTTTTGAAAATAAAGTTGTATATACAATTTCCAATCAAAATTTCATCAATTAAACACCTACTGAGCAGTCTTTGCGTGGAGGGGACTGTGTTAAGCACGGGGGCTGCAGAGGGGACGAGGGTCTGGCCCTCAGGGCTCACACCTACTTAGGGGAGAGTCGCATAGAGAATGAACCCTAACAAGGTCCTGAGGTGGGGACAACAATGGGCTGTGCATGCGGTCTTGCAGGGACCTTGGTGGTCACACCCTCATCAGCCTGGAGGTGGAGTGAAACAGCGAAACTCTCCGACAAAGTGATAGCTCAGCTGCATCTTAAGAGCTGAGCAAAAGTTATCCAGGGGAGAAAGGTGGGAAAGGTATTCCTTGAAGCAGGGAGCTCAGTTAAGGAGCAGGCCAAAGAGGAGCCCTGTGGTGTCTGGACAGAGTATCAGCCGGAGGCTCGGGGGTCCTGGGCTGAGCTGACCGCACTGGAGCCCAAGCGGAGGATTCGAAGGTGTAGCCTGACTATAACGCACTCACAGCCCGCACTGGGTTTTCTGACCCACGCTGCCTCTGCACAGAAGTCGTTCCCTCAGGACTTCTCTGACCCCAGTGGGGCAGCCAGTCCTTCACCATCCTCTATGCCTCTGTCAGGACCCTATTTCTGGAAAGAAGAATGGGGGTCAGGTCTGAACCCTCACCTGTGATGTTCACACTGCCGCGGTACGAGTCCAGGAAGCCGAGGCTGAAGCCCGCGGTCTTCTGGAAGATCTCATCCAGGCTGGCGGCAAAGGCGCTGCCCCACACACCTAAGGAGACAGGCGAGGCCCGGGCCCTCGACTCCTCCGCCCCCATGGGGCCTGACCCCGGGCCTGCCCTGTCCCCAGCCCTCCAGCTTAGACTCACCCTGCAGGTAGCAGATCCGGGGCTCCGGCCAGAGTTTCAGCAGTCGCCCCATGAAGAACTCTGAGCCGAAGAGCTTGGTGGGAACATAAACCCCATACTTGGGGAAGCCAATCTCATGGGGAGTAAACTCGCACCATTCTGGGGGCCAGGAGTAAAGGGAATGTCTCCGGGGACTTTCCACCAGGACCCCAGTGTTCCCCCTGGCCCTTGGGACTGAGCTAGAATCTTTGCCTTGCCAAGAGCAGGAGGCAGCAACCCCACTGTGCCCCAATAGCCTGGCCTCTTACACCCTCCTACCCCCGTCACCTCCACCTGCTTCCCATCTCCGCACACCCAGGCACCTGCAAAGTCTTCGCCGCTGATGTTGGTGCGGACGTTGACACCAGCGTAGATGGGATAAGGGTTCTGGCTCTGGCTGACGGCCTCCTGCTGGTCAGACAGCTTGGCTGGGTTTTCCTGGGCAGAAAAGAAGGGAAGCTGATTGGCTTTTCCCATCGCAGTGGCCTGAGGCTGGTACCTGGCGGGCTGTGGCGAGCCCACTAGAGACCGTGGTTGCCAAGGCCAGTGCTCTAAGCTGCAGCAGAGATGAGGCCACTGTGAGTTCTGTGCAATTCCAGGGGCATTGGGAATACCCCCAGCTTCTTTCCCATTCAAGCAAGTGTATCAAAACCAAAGAGAGGCAGCGTGACATTTTTAAAGGAATAACTGAAAATCCAGACTACTTTCTTTAAAAAGTAAATCACTAGAAAACATGAATTCTGTCCTTAGAAATTAGAACCCACTTGTGATATACATCCACAACTGGTAGCCACACACCAGTGGGCCAGGTGCCCTGGCCAAGACCCTCACTCAGCTCTGAATCTCTCATCTCCCAGCTTTCTGGGCTCGCAGTTCTAGGAGAAGCCACCAGGGGCGTAAGTCATGGCCGCTTGGCCAATGGGTGAGAGTGGTGTTCTGCCTCAGCTGCAGGGTAGAATCGCTCGGAACTTGCAAAACACACTTGTGCTAGCACCGGACCCCAGACCAGTCAAAATCAGTGTTTCTAGCCCTGGCAGGTGTTGCTCAGTGGGTTGGACATTGTCCTGTGCCAGTTCCATTCCCCGTCAGGGCACATGCCTGGGTTGTGGCTGGTCCCAGGTAGGGGGCATGCAGGAGGCGACCAATCCATGTTGCCCTCTCACAGTGATGTTTCTCTTTCTTCCTCTCTCAACCTCTCCCTTCCTCTCTCTCTAAAAATCAATTTTAAAAATCTTTATTTATTTATTTTTTATCCTCACCCGAGGACATTTTTCCATTTTTGTACAGATAGAGTGGGAGGGAGAGAGAGGAAGAGAGAGAGAGGGAAACATCGATGTGAAAGGGACACATCAAGTGGCTGCCACCCGCACGACCAACCAGGGCCGGGGACAAACTGCAACCGAGGTACGTGCCCTTAGCGGGAACCGAACCCGGGTCTCTCCGGACCGCAGGCCGACGCTCTAACCGCTGAGCCAAACCGGCCAGGGCAATTTTAAAAATCTTTAAAAAAAAAATCACTGTCTCTAGAAGTGGGGCTCAGGCTTAGGGTATGTTGGAAAAGCTGCACAGGTGATTCTAATATGCCGACAGATCTTAGAACTGCTGACCAGCTTCTCCCTCCCCAGGGTTAGGAACCAGCAAAGATGAAAGGGTGTCCACCCTCCAGAGATCTCACCCTTTGTCCCAAGGGAACTCAGACTAAGGGATAGCTTTGCAAATTTTAGATCTTTCTTAGCCTAGTGGTTAAGGCTGAATTAAGTGCTGGAGGGGCAGAGGTGAAAAGGAGCCGTGTTTATTTGTTACCTGCTCTTCTCTTACCTCCTCGTACAGGAAATATTCAACCTGGAGGCCCCAGAGGTCAACCAAGGAAGTGCTGTGGCCGCTGCTTTCCAGGTTCTTCAGTTCCTGAGCACAGTATTGTAAGCGCTCTGTGGACACGGCTCCCTTCTTACTGCTGCAGACCCGAGCCCGGGCACGCTCCGTGGGGCCCTGCAAGGCCACCTGGGACCAAGCTGGGTCCCTAAAGAGTGTGGAGATGCACCTGGCATGGAGGACATTCGAGGCAGTTAGGGGCAGGGGAGCACAGCAAAGGGAGAGAGGGATGCAGGTGTCTGTGAGTGACCCCTCCTCCCCCATCACTTGTACCCACTGACTGCCCTGTATCACCCACTCGGGGGTTCCTGGGGACTCAGTCTCTCCTGCCTCTCCTAACCCCACTGGAGGCAGGCTTGCTCCTGGCCCCTTCAGAGCCCTCCTTTACTCTGTACCCTGTCCCCACCACTTACCAGGTGGACCCAGAGACCCCACTCAGGTAGGTCACAGTGTCCAGGAGACTGAGCTCCTGCAGCCCTGCCAGGCTGCCATACAGGGAAGACATGGCACGGGTTCCACCTCCAGAGCCCAGCACAGCCACCACGGGCACCTGGGCAATGATCAAGGTAACATCAACCACCACTGTCATTCATGGATCACTACCTATGTCAGACATTGACCTAAGAGCCTTACATGCATTGTCTCATTGAGTCCTCACAGCAACCCAGCGAGATCCCCATTTTACAGACGAGGGAACTGAGGCACAGGAAGGTTAGAGAATGTGCCCGCAATCAGACAGTTAGTAAGTGACGGGCCAGCGATCCGAAGCAGCATGGCTACAGAGATGGCTCTTAACCATTACACCAGGAAATGGTGCACCTGCAAGGTATATTGGATTCAGCTAAACAGGGTTTCTCAATCTTGGCACCTCTGATCATTGTGGACCAGATCATTCTTTGTTGTGAGGATGTTTAGCAGCGTCTCTGGCCCTTACCCAGTAGATGTCAGTATCATCCCTCTCCCTCTCCCCCAGTGGAGACAATAAGACATGTCTCTAGACATTGACAAATATCTCCTGGGTGGGGTAGGAGGGGTTGCAATTGCACCTAGTGGAGACCCACTAAGCTAAAGTGACAAAAACCACCAGGCAGCCTGGCCCTGACCCAACATGGGAGGTGTCTGTGAGATCAGACTAGATGTTTTTGGTTGTTCAACTTTTCTACAAAGGTTTTACTCATTTCACCCAATTTTTTGGTTCCTTTCCCTGTTCTTCTTTATTCTCTCTCTCTTTTTAAAATTTATTTTATTTTAGAGAGAGAGGAAGGAAGAGGGAGAGAGAGATAGAAACATCAATGAGAGAGAACACTGATTGGCCACTTCCTGCATGCCCCTCACTGGAGATCGGGCCCACAACCTGGGCATGTGCCCTGACCGGGAATTGAACCGGCGATCTCGGCCGGGCTATTCTCTGTTTTAAAACAAGTGCTCCCTGGCTACTGTCCAGTCACTGCCCCTTCAGAGAACTGGAGGAGACAGAGCTCCCTGTTCCCTCTTCAGCTTCTCCCTGCAGGTGGAGGTTGGCACAGAGCAGGCATTACCCCAACAGTCTAGGCTTGCTCCTCTTCCCATTGCTGGGCACAGGCTCAGTGTCCTAGCTCACTTGCAGCCAGGAAAATGCCACCAACTTCTTCCTGATTTGCCACAGGGCTCACCCTCAGTGCTGCCTTTCCTTCTGTCTCCTGTCATGGACTGAATCGTGTTCCTGACCCCTCGCCAATTCAAATGCTGAGGCCCAATGTGATTATTGAGGAGAAAATAAAGTTAGGGGGAAAGTAAGGCATCTCTTCTCAGCCTTCCTGCTAAATTAGTCACAGAACCTGAAGCGTGAGGAAAAACAATACATACATCTTTGACATTTAAACTTTTTTTTAATCCTCATCTGAGGACATTTTTCCATTTTTGTTTAGATAGAGTGAGAGGGAGGGAGAGAGACAGGAAGAGAGAGAGAGAGAGAGAGAGAGAGAGAGAGAGAGAGAGAGAGAGAAACATCAATGTGAAATGGACACATCGAGTGGTTGCCACCTGCACAAACCAACCAGGGCCGGGGACAAACTACAACCGAGGTACGTGCCCTTAGCGGGAACTGAACCCGGGTCTCTCTGGACAGCAGGCTGATGCTCTAATTGCTGAGCCAAACTGGCCAGGGCTTGACATTTAAACTTTTAAGCTCTCCTAGAACTCTTCAGTCCAGCATTAGACATTACACAGATTATCATCAGTACAGTACACATGGGTGCATGGTCTCCAAACGTAAGACCTCCTCAAAGACTGCCCAACGCCCCACTTGACCACCTGAAATCTGTGATCATAATTACTGATGCTATTGTAATGTGTCAGTGAGATCATCAGAGATGCACAGCCGAATTGTGAATGAAAGGAGCGCTGTGTTCACCAGTGGGCTGTGGGCGTATAGCTTCCCAAATCACAGCCCCGAGCCTTTGTTGCCTGCTTATAAAGGCTCAAACTACATTCTCTTAGCACTGCTTTTGGTGCTGTTAAGGGGGTTATGAGAGGAGCTGTTACAGAGGCAAGGGAGGAACTAGTTTCAGGAGGTGAGAGGAGCTATTACAGAGGTCAGGGTAAGAGCAGTCATTAATCTCTTTCTTTTTTATGGTCCCTCCAAGTTTCCCAAGGCCATCATTAACCCCCTTATCTTTATGGTTCCTCTGGGTGTCAGTCCCAGGTTTTTTAGAAAACACTCGGTTGTGCACGTGTGGGAATAACTGATCAGAATGGAGTTCATTTTTAAGTCAAGTAGCCCAGCTCAATACTAGTTGATTTATTGTAATGAACCAAACAGCTAAGCATGCAAGGCCCTTTCTTTATTGTGATTCATCATAAAAAGAAATGATTTTTTGTTGTTGTTGTTGTTCCCCAGAACATTTCCAGATGTGTTCCTAGTTATGTTTTTAGTTTCTAAGACCCTTGACTAAATCTCTGTCATTTATTTCTAGCCAGAGCCTTCTCGTTTTGATTATTCGTGACACTGTATTTGGAGAAAAGCCCTATCGGGAGGTCACGTAGGTTGCATGAGGTCCCAAGGGTAGGGCCCTAACCTGATAGGACTGGTGTCCTTGTAAGAGGAAGAGAGAGAGAGAGATCTCCCCCCCTGCACACGCAGAGAGGAACGGCCGTGTGAGGACAGCAAGAGGGTGGCCATCTGCAAGTCAGGAAGAAAGGCATCACCAGAAGCCAACCCTGAGCCACCTTGATCTTGAACTTCCAGCCTCCAGGTGAGAAAATAAATGTTGTTGTCTAGCCCCCAGTCTGTGGTCGGTCATGGTGGTCCGAGCTGACTAACTGACCTCCCCTGGCCAGGGCTGTTTAGCCCTCATTGCACATGAGGTCCTGACCCCTCCAATCAGCTCAGGTGAACAGCCCTGCCCCTGCCTCCTCTGCTCCCCACGCTTCCTCTAGGCTTCCTGTCACATCTTAGCCACATAGCCCTCTCAAAGGAAGACACCGGATTTGGTTCTCGTGGTGCTGGGGTCCCCTCCATTCCATACCTGGCCACTGTCGGGAGCCTGGCTCAATCCCAGCACCTGCTGCAGGGCCTTGGATACGATCTGCTTCCTCTTGTCCAGAAACTCGCGCTCCCCGTCACAGAGGTCAAAGCCAAGGCGCAGGTCAAGGTTTCCAGAGCTGCCTCGAGTGGGGTAGGGTTGGGGTGCTCGCTAGATGACCGTTCAGTGGAGGAGAGCCTCGGGCCAAGCCAGTTTGTCGTAGGAGCAGACCCGCACCCCATGGAACCCCTCAGAAAGATCCCACCAGAACCACGCATGCCTACCCCTCACCCCCCAGCTGAGCAGAGTAGACAGGAGAGCCCCCACACTTCCAGCCCAGCCCAAGAAAGAGCCTTCTCACCACATTTCTGCCTTCACACTCAGGGCCACCTCCTGGCCCTGAAAGAGACAATGGCCACCCCTAAGCACCCTGGAGGGAACCCTCCCACCTGCAGCCCAGGTGCTCTGGTAACTCCAGCCCACACGTGGACCATGGCTGAGCTCCTGCTGGTCTGGTCTTGCCCCTCTCAGCCCCTCCCCTAGACCTTGTGGTGGTCACAGAGCAGAACACCCAGCCGGAGCCTCACCTGCCCCACAGCCACCAAGCGCTGTTCCTCCTGACCCAGGGCCAGAGAGGACAGCAGGATGCCCCCCTTGCCCAGATTGCTGGTCTGAGCCTCCAACTCAGCATTCGGGTCACTCTGCGGAGAAGAAAACACCATGGAGCCCCCCGAGGGGAGGAAACCTGCCGAGGGGCAGCCCGGGAGTGTGGCCCATGCACAGCGACTCCGCCAGCAGCCCCTTCCAGGCCCTGTGCGCGCTCACCTCCAGGACCGTGAGCTCCTCCCCGACCTCCACGTGCAGCCGGGAGCGAAGCACTGGGTTCACGTGGAAGGTAAAGGTGTCCGGGCGGCGCGCCTCCACGGGAGGCTGCAGCGGCAAGAGCTGTGGTTTCTCGTAGGCCCCGGGCACTGCCAGGCAAATCTGCCTAGAGCCTGGGAGCAGAGGGCCCGGTGAGGGGGTGAGAGCTGTGTTTGTAAGTCTCTCATCAGGTCATAAGCAGCTCCCCTTCTCTTCTTGGAAACCCCAGCTCATCACCTTTCTCACTGCCTGGCTCTGTGACCCAGAGCAAAAGCATCATGAAGGAACCTGGGCTCCTAGAACAGGCCCTGGGGAGCCGGGGGTGGGGTGGGGGTGGGGGGAACACAATGCCTGGGAGAGGGGGAAGGCGGGGGAGAGAGGGCCGCCTGCCCAGAGCTAATGGGGCTGATGATTTTGAGATTATATTAAGTACATAAACTATAATTTTCAAAAACTGTATTATAATGATCATATATTAATTATTACACGAATGGCCAGTTTTCAACAAGTAGTTCCCTCCATCGTTTGTCTCCATTCAGCCCCTGTGCTCATCGCCTTGGGGGAGATTTGTGGCCAGTCGGCAATTTTCTCAGCCCTTGGTTTCCAAAGTGTAAGATCTTGGGAGAACACAGATGGCTTGATGAGGAGGTAAAAGAAGGAAGTGGGTTCTGGGCACAGAGAGAATCGGTGGTTTGGAGAAGCAGGGGACAGCCAGCCCAGGCCAGAAAGTGAGGCCAGGCAGGGAGGAGGGGAGAGGCCCGTGGCCCAGGGGCAGCCGGGCCCGCCCTGGTCCTAGCAGGACCCCAGAGAGAAATGGCTGAGCATGGCACCCAGGCAGAGGGGACCCCAGACGGCCTCACAAAGGAGCCCAGACCCCAAACGCCTCAGGAGCAGAGATCCAAATGGAACTCTCCCTGCGCAAACTCCTGGGCATTTCATGGGACCTGGAGACGACATGACCCGGGGGGGAATTGGGGAAAATAAGAAGGGTACGTTCTTTCACGCCATGGTTTATGGACTGAGATGAATATGCACACACTGCTCATAGTGAGAAACAGCCGAAACCTGTCGGGGAGAGAGCAGGTGCCCTGGAGCAGCACGGACCTGGGTCTGGTCCTGGCCCCACCACCCCCTGGCTGTGTGACCAAGCTTTTTCTCCAAGTGTCAGTCTCATGAGTTAAAAGAGAATAATGATTATACCTACTTTACAGGGCTGTTATGAGGATTAAACGATAAAACGCATACAAATACTTAGCACAGCATCTTACTCGTGATAAGTGCTAGAGGTTACCTGGGTGGGACTCATCCTGTGGGCTGCCTCTCGGCCTCTCGGCGTCAGCAGGGTCCTCAGCTGTCACACAGCCTCTGCCCTCCTGCCCTCCTGCCCCCACCCCCGGGGCTGCCCTCCTGTGGCAGATGCCTGGGTGGGCCAGCTCTTCACTTCTGAATTCTCACTCTTTACCCTGTGACTCCAGGGCCTCCCACTAACAGGCCGACTAAATTCCCCGCCCTCGATCTTCAGGATCAGCCTTGGGACCCGTTCTGACAACATGAAGTTAGTGGCTGGATGTGACCCAAGCCTCCCAGTACTTGCTCATGCGGGCTTGCTCTCTCACGCCGCTGCCCTTCGCGTGCCAGGCTGGCCCACTGGTCCCAGGAGGTGGCTGAGGGTCACGGGTGCCGAGCCGGGTCACTCCCACCAAGCCCAGCCCAGACCAGCCAAGCCCAGCTGACCACCAGATGTGCGACCACGTAAGTGCTTCCTGTGGCCTGCCACTGCCCCTGGGGGTGTTTTCATAGAGAGCAGGAGGACGAATACAACCCTGTGCTTGAATACTTCCAGGGACAAAAAATTCACCACTTCCAGAGGCAATCTGTTTCATCCCTGGCCAGCTTTAAGCGGTGAAAAATAAAAAACGTGCTGCCCTGACCCATCTTATTGAAATCAGTAGCCCCCTCACCTCCCAGGGGAGGAGGGGAGACCCAAGGCCACTGGCCAGACTCACCATACCCTCGATGTGGAGCTGTCTCATTGTCCTTGAGGGAGCCCTGGATTCTCAGACAGGGCTGAGCCTGTGGAGAGCAGAGGCCGAGGGGAGCCAGACGGTCACAGGGCCCCGACAGGGCCCGCACCAGGACGGAGGGAAGGGAAAGGGGAGAGGTTCTGGGGCCGTGTACAGATAGCAATCTTCCCAGGGCAGGGGTCTTCTGTAGCAGCCCCCACTCCTAGTGTTGTAATGTGTCATCAAGATAGAGACGCACAGCAGAATTGAAAAGGAGCACTTTATTCACCGGTGGGCTGTGGGGGTATAGCTTCCCAAATCACCGCGGCAGGCCTTCTCTGCTGCCTGCTTTTAAGGGAAAAAAACTACATTCTTGCCCTGGCTGGTTTGGCTCAGCGGTTGGAGCGTCGGCCTGCGGTCCAGAGAGACCCGGGTTCGGTTCCCGCTAAGGGCATGTACCTCGGTTGCAGTTTGTCTCCGGCCCTGGTTGGTCGTGCGGGTGGCAGCCACTCGATGTGTCCCTTTCACGTCGATGTATCTCTCTCTCTCTCTGTTCCTCTCTCTCCCTCCCACTCTACCTGAACAAAAAGTGGAAAAAGATGTCCTCGGGTGAGGATAAAACAAACAAACAAACAAACTACCTTCCTGGCACCGCTCCCAGCACCGTTGGGGGGACTGACACAGAGGGGGACAAGAGGAGCTGTCACAGAGGTCAGGGCAACCACCACTCTCTTCTCTTCATGGTTCCTCTGAGTTTCCCAAGGCCATTATTAACCCCCTTTATCGTTTTCTCTGGGTTTCTCATGGCCCTCATGTTTACAAAAAACCCCACCAGCATATGTATGTGCAGTAACTGAGGGTCAGAATGGAGTTACTTCACTAGGACTCAGAGGGAGTGGCCCCTGGCGGGGAAGGGGAGGAGGTGAGGGCCCCATTCCTGGCCCCTTCGGCAGTCTCGGAAGCCGGGGCTCCCAGGGAGTAATGTGCTGTGCACGGGTCGGAAGGCTGGCTTTTCAGCTGTCCACTCAGCTGCGAAGCAGCTCCTTCCCCCGGGTCACTGGAGGTGCCTACCCAGCACACCTCCGTCTGAGCAGAGGCCGAGTGACCTTCGGAAAGGCAAGTGGGTGTGAGGGCTCAGCTGTGGACTCAATGCCCCCGGCCTGGGCAGCCCCAAGCTGGGGTCCTCCCTACTTACCACCAGGACACCATTGGTGATGACTTCAGATGCAGGCACCTGGCTGCAAAGGAGATGGCTTATTGGCTGTCCGGGCGCCTCAAGGTGGCTGTTACTATAACTATGTGTCTAAAGCAGTGGGAAGAGCCGGGGGAATATGGCAGCGTCTGGGGGGAGGGGTGGGGGTTCGCCAACACTCCAATGGGCCTCAAGACCAGGACATCCTCTCAGACAGGCCAGCACGGGTGACTGACAGCGGGGGGCTGTCCGGGATTTCCGAGTAAATGGGAGGACACAGGCTCCACTTGGACTCACCTGTTCTCCAGAACAAACTCCACCTGCAGCTCTTGTGAATCCTAATGGAGGGAGCAAGGAAGCACCCATTTTCAAAGAGTTCCAGAAGCCTGGGGGATCGTCCCTACCCCACAGCCCTGCTCAGCCCAGGAACTAGAGGAGACTTGCTGTGGCTGCTCTGGGCACAGGAAGGGTAGTGGCATCTCCATGAGCAGCTTCATTCATGGAAAACTGTGCAGACGCTGTTCTGGACACCGAGGATTCGGCAATGATCAAGATAGACAAAGTGCTCTGCCCTCGAGAGCTCACAGGGAAGACTTTTCTGAGGGAGGCCTTGGTGGGATCAGACCTGGTCATGCTGACCGGGAGCCCCCTCCTCAGTGCCCTATGCTGGGCGTCCTCTGCTTGAGCTCGGCTCGTGGCTGGCGCAGTGGGGCACCTCACCTGCTGGTTGAGTGGGAAGGTGTGTCTGTGGGGTTGGCCAGGCTTGAGGCTCTTCAGGTCAAACAGCAGCAGGGAGAGTTCTCTGCTGGCCAGGACATCCTTGTCATAGAGGGTGAGCTCTAGGACGTTCTGGAGACAGGGCAGGCAGGAAGTGGGAGCCCGAGGCAGGGCAGGCGCTCGGAAGGAGCCCTCGCCCTCTGCCACCCTGCCACCTCACCTTCACAGCGCTGTGTATCTGGTAGTGGAAGGTCTCATTCCACTCAGGGTTGCTGCAGTTGTCTATCACCCTTGTCTGGGCGCAGCTAGGAGATGCCGTGGGCAGCCACAGTTTCACGTAGCAGTCAGCTTTGGACACTTTGGGAGGAGGGGGGAGGAGCACGGCTGGAGAGGAGGCTGCCAGCGTGGGTGGGAGATGGAGGGAGAGCCCCCGTCCTGGACTCCACCTCCACCAGTTACAGCTCCCATTCGACTGCATGAAGCCCTGCCATGGCCAGTTGAAAAAATCACATGGCAGCACAGACACTGCCTAGTTAATTCCCAGAAAGGACTTGATTCAGGTGACAAACTCCCCTCCCAGTGTGAGCATTGGCGTGGACAGTTTGTGGCAACAGCAGGGGTCACACACTCTCCCAGGCCGCCGCTCGCTACTGGCTAGACTCAGGGAGGAGTCCAAGTCTGCACAGCGCTGCCCTCCGGCTCCTGCCTCCTGCCTGCCAGCTCCCTCCCTCCCTCCAGTCAGCACCAGCCCCTCCCCCCTCCGCCCCACTTCACTCACACACACTCTCTCTCTCTCTCTCTCTCATTTCAGGCCAGCCCCTGCTGAGCCCTGCAGAGGCCTGGGGAAAGGAAGGGGAGAAAGGGGAGAAAGGGGAGAAAGCGGGCTCACTCACGCAGGTCTGTGCCCTGGATATTTCTGGCCCTCAGCACCTTCACCTGGAGGTCATAGTATGGGTGGGTTTCCCGCTGAAACAACAGAACTCTGGGGACTCAGTTCCAGGAAGCCAGGTGTGGGGCCTGCTCTCCCGGCAGTGATGCCCAGCTCCGGTGTTCCTCGTCCCAGCACAGGGCAGCAGCCTGGCCCAGGATCCCTGAGGCTGCTGTGCCTGGGACCTGGGGGGCCATGGCGGGGCAGGCGTCGGAAGTTCAGCCTGTTGGTAATAACACACCTGGCTTCCAACCTAAGCTCCCCCTGGGCTAGCTGGATGGCCTTGGGCAAGCAACTTGATTTCTGGATGTTTCCGTTTTTCCATCTATGAAACGGGGTTACGGTGATAATCTCATAGGGTTGTGGTGACTTCTCAATAAAAAGTTGAGAAGTGCTTGGCCTGAGGGCTGAATGCATGTAGCTGTTTTACTAACTACGGTGGTTGTCACGCTCCACTCAGACCACGGTGCCCCTGCTGCAGCTTGAGAGGTGAGTGCGCTGCTTAGGGAGATTAACTATTAAGAGAAAGTTGTGACCAATCCCACCACTAGCTCCCTGACAAAGGCCTACGAGGCTGAGGGCAGGTGAAGGGAAACCAAGATCACCTGCTTGTAATGGTCAGACGAGTCGCTAAGGAGACTGCAGCTCGGGCTCAGGAGAGAAGACAGCAGACTGCAGACTCCTGGGAGCGAGACCATCGCCTCAAATGCAACCGCCAGACCAGGGCATCTGGGCAAACCCAGCCAACTACAAGTGTCACATGATCAGCCCTCCATTCCTTACTGGGAGGATTGTTTTCAAAAGCCAAGGTCTTGGCCAAGCTCTACTTTAAACTCCCCCAGGTTGTCTGGAGCAAGTTGGTCCCACCCCAGATCAAAACCCAACCCCCGGGCTGGCCTCCATCTACACAGGGGACTGCACTCCTAGGACCCCTCCCGTCCACATTCCCAGGGAAGGTCAGGTACTTTACCCGGCAATGACTCCACTGAGGTTCCCTCTTTTCTCTCTTCCGGAGCAACACCACCCCCAGGAGGGGCAGCTCCTTGCATGCCAGCCACCTTGGCCAGAGCGCCCAGAGCATGGCCAGGCAGCCCACTTGCCAGCAAGAAGCGTCTGCTCTCCAGAGCCACCCTCCTGGGTTCTGGATACGATCACTGCTGGCTCAGGTCTGGTCTGACAGGTACAGTGGGGTGGGGAGGGTGGAGCTGCTGCTCTGCTGTGGACTCAGGGCCCCATGGCATCTGGGGCTGGAGGAGGGGCGTGATGGGCTCCAGGAAGTGACTGGAGCCCAATTTCCTCAGGCAAGAGGCGCTCTGGTTCCAATCCCAGCCCCTGGTTATCACTGGGCTGGGTGTGGAAAATGGATGCCTGAGCCTCACCCCCATGCTTCCATGTGGCGATGTGGCGATGTGGCGAGGGAACTGCAGCCAGGAGGTGCTGTATGGAGTCTTCCCAGCTATAAAAACACTACCTTTCGAGTCCCACTTGCCCACAGGGCCGAAGCAGAAGCACGAACATCTCTGGTTCAGTGCTTGATTTGGACTCACAGGTATTTCGTCTCCCCGGCCCCCCTCATTTGTTCTCCCAAGAGGGGCTGCTGTGCACAGGGCCCGCACCACACCCTCTTTACTTTTGTTAATCCTCACCAGAGGGTGTTTATCCATTGATTTTGAGTGGAAGGGAAGGAGGGAGGAAGGGAAAGACATCAGTGTGAGAGACACATCAACTGGCTACCTCTCATGTGACCCTGACCAGGGCCTGGGATTGAACTTGTAACCCAGGTACGTGCCCTTGACCGGGAATCGAACCCACAACCCTTCGGTCTGCAGGCCGATGCCCTAACTGCTGAGCCAAACCGGCCAGGGCAGCACCGCGCCTTAGAACCAAAGGTAAGGAGAGCCCATCCATATCCTGAAGAAATTCACAGCCTCATGACTCCCTGTGGCTGCTGCCCAGGCTCTCCTCCTGGGTAGGTGGAAATACCCAGGCGGTCCAGGTATAAGGGAGGGATAGGGTCAAGTGGTATCGATAAGGGCAGGTAAAAAGCAAGTCTGCCAGTCCTCAAGCTCCTAGAGATACAGGCTTTAATGCCCTGTTGACCAACGTAAGCCTTAGGCTGCAGATGTATGTGACGTCCCCTTTTCTGTGGACCACGGCCATCTACGTGGCCAAGACAAAGTAGTCTCCAAAAGAAAGCATCTCTGGGGCAGGCAGCTGTCGGAAGACGCTTTTCTGTTCCTCAACCAAGACCCCGTCATCACTCTCCCCTGCAAGGCCCGAGATGGAGACTGGAAAAATAAAATCTAAAAAACGGGTGATTCAACTTAAAAATAAATCCTGTAGGCAAGTTTAGACCAGAAATTCCCAGAACAAAAGAGGTATGATGTTGGCCTGACCCCAAGGGGAAAGCCTGTTTCTACTGTTTGGAGCACGAAGCCAAGGCCTGTGCTGGGGTCTCAGGAATGCGGGAGTCCAACCCCTCTGGTGACCTGTAGGTGCAGCACGTAGAAGTCCCACAAGTCCAAAGAGGAGACCGAGGCAGGGGCATGAAGTTCGCTGGCCTGGCGCAGATACCCTGGCTGATCTGAGTGCTTTCTGGGCTGTACCACTCTCCTGGTCACCTGCCCATGCCTCTGAGTTCCAGATGTTTTCACTCCCAGAGAAAACTCAGGATGGCCACAGAAAGCTCAAGAGGGGGCATAAAGGGCCAAATGATCTTTTTTGCAGCTGGCCAAAGTGGAACATTTCTCCACTTCTCAACCGTCCCTGGGTCTGTCTATCCTACCCTCCCAGTCACTGTGAGCTGCAGGAAGAGGCACAGAGCCCTGGGGCTGGCTGGAGTCCCAGTGCCCCAGCAGAACGTGGTGATGCTGGAAATGGCCCACATCTGTGCGGTCGAGGCACCAGCCGCCGTGCGGTGCTGGACGCACGATGGAGACACCGGCAGACGGTTACTCTTTCCCGTGGTCACTAAGGGGCTTCCTTGACTCAATTCTTGGCTAACTTATGACCATTATTTCATCAACCACCACAGGAAGGGGGGAAAAGAGACCCACACATGCTTGGTTTGTTACTTTATGGAGTTTATTAGGCGAGACCTTCATCAGTCCTCACTCCAGAGCATTCTTCTCCGCTTTCTCCGTTCCACCGCACAGGGCCAGCAGTCTCAGGAAGGAAGACTGCAACTCGGGAAAACCGGGTTGCGTATGTATTCCAGAGGGGAGAAAACGTTCTTTGTGCTAGTGCTTCAAGCAGACGTGCCACACGGAGTGGAATGGAAGATACAAACAGCAGGCCAGCAAGCCAGGGCTTCTGCCGCACAGTGGGGGCCGGCCTGCCGATTCCACCATTCCACGGCTGCTCCGGGGGAAGCTGGTCTTCACCTGTGCAAAGGCCACACCGCTTCCTGTGGGTGAGTGTGGCCAGCTGGGGCGGTGGCTCCTGTGAAGTGCTGCTCGGCCTCCAAAACCTGAGCAGAACCCCATCTCTGAACAAGTGCTGGCAGCACTCACTGTCCCTTCAGACCCTCCACAGAGCACGTGCCTGGGAGAAGCCTAGTCTCCACCACCAGCAAGTCGGTCTGCAGCACAGTGCTGCGGTGTAAAAAGGATCGCAGCGTGTCAGGGACAGGCCACTACCTGGGGCCTGTGCTGGGCAGTCACTCACCCTCACTACCACCGAGGACACTGAGGAAACAAGTCTGCAGAACCTCAGGGAGAAAAGGATGAGGGCCTCTCCCCTCGTGGCCTCTGCCTGCAGTGCTAGACACCCCTGGCTGCCCCTAGGGTGCCCTGTGGAACCCAGGGTCTCCCCCACACAGCGCTCAGCGGATTTGGCAGTGAGACATTTCATACACCAGGGGCTGCCGCTCCTGCCGCACTCTCGCCTCCCCAGCACCTCACAAGTATGCCGGCTGCTCCGGTGCGCAGAGACCCACCCACCCACGATATCGCAGTGCAGCCCTCCAGCCTCTGCAAGACAAGGCTGGGGAGCACGGCCGGGCAAAGCTGGAAGTGGATGACACTGGCTGGAAAGAGAGACGTCCCAGGTACAAAGCGTTCACCCACAAACTCTAAACCAACCTGCCTAGGTGACGGGTGGGTGACCCAGGAGCAGGAGCCCCGGCAGACGCAGCCTAAGAGGTCACACACCCAGTGCCTGCTGTCCATCCTCAGAACTCCGGCCACGCTGGGCCCCAGGGAGGTGCAGAGCCTTTCCCAGGCCGAGAACGGTGCTCTCCTGAGCTTCCAGGCACAGTGCGTCCAGTCCAGGGAGATCTATTTACAGCACACCTGACAGTCACTCATCAGTGTAGCCCTAGACAATGGGAATTCCTCTTGCTTCTCACTTCGCCTTGCTTCAGTATTAGTTACTCCCGGTGTCAGGAAAACGGGGAGGAAAGCCTGAGTAGAGCAGTGAGGGGAGAGATCCAGGAAGAAACAGTGAGAAAGAAAAGGAGACTGAAAAGAGACCAGTGGGGAGGCCGCTGGGGGACAGGGGCAGTGACCACGGAGAAAGGACTCACTGCCTAGAGAACACGTGTCTGGCCTTTGCAGCCAGAGAAGCTCTGCTTCTGCTCCCCTCACAGCCCCGTCAGCCAGGCTGAGGGCTCCTCGTGACGTCCTGCGTGTCACTCGGTAGAAAAGTGAATAAACAATCCTGGGGTTACAAAGCTGAAGGCCGTTTCCTTACTCAGGTGATTGGTATGCAAAGGCAAGCCGGTGCCCATCCATCTTCTCCAGTTCCAGCGGCTACTAAATTCTCTGGAACTGCCTACAACATGATGGTATAAAAGTAAAACTAATTTCTTTTTCTATAAAAAGCTGGCAACACCAGACCACAAGTCTGATTAATTCAGAAATGTTCCAGGGCACAAGGTAGCCAGTCGTGTCCAAATGGGAGACACCTGGTGGCGGCAGTAGCCCCGAGTCCGAAGGCCAGTGCCCCTCTCCCTCTCTGGGATGGCCAAGTCGTCCATCTGCCGAGTCCTGGGCACACTGGGCTCAGGTGTCCGCCGGGTTTACCTCTTTGGAACAGAAGTAGTGCACGACCACTCCGTTGGGGTATCTTGCAAATGCGCTGCAGGAAGACAGAGGGCTTGGGAGTGAGGACTGCCTACAGAGACGGCTCCTTACCTAGGAAGGGCACCCAGCAGCAGCCCACCTCACCACAGAGAGCAGCCTGCCCCCAGGGCCCTGGGTTTACCCCCCATCACCTCTGTCCACACACAGGCAGACGGGCCGTGCGCGACCTGGCTCAGCACCAGCTTACTGAAGCCAACACTGCTCCTCGGAACAAGTTTCGGGCTAACTCTAACGAAGGACAGAGTTAGGTCTTTCTAAAGAAAAGAATTCTTCCATGTAAGAAAAAGAACACATTACTCTCCTTTGAGGGAAAAGGATCGACTAGGGTCTACGCCCTAAACAGTATGATCCTGGCTCAGGATTTTACTCAAATCATGAGGCAGCAGGTTGAGAGATCTTTTTCTTCCTTTAAAGGTGCATCCTTAAGATAAGGACTTTCTCCCTGCATACCACTCTCACATACCCACTGGCTACATCACAACTTCCCTGCCAGAGAAATTGTGGGCAAGTCAACATGTCATACCTTTCAGGTTTTTAAATTCTCCAAGCCCACCCCCGACAGCAGGGACTGCCCTCTCCGCCTCAAGAGCCTAACGTGCCCGGACAGTCAGCAGCTGTGCTTCCCCCTGGCTCAGAGGGCAGAGCTCCTTCCTGGGCATGGCCCTCGCCAGAGCAGACCCTGCAGAGCTGTGGAGAGCCTCACCTGTTCCCAATCTTCTTCTTACACACCATGCACACCTTCTCCTCCGTGATGATGCACTTCACTTGCTGGTGCAAAATCCGCTCCTCCTGGACCTGGGCGGGCAGAGATGGGGGAGAAGTCTATGGTCCGGCCCGCAGAGTCCTCTCATCAAAACACTTGCCACTAAATGTCAGCTTGGTCCAAGTTGTGTTTAAAGAACAGAGTCCTGCTTGGTCCAAGAAATACGCAAAAAATAAGAGCCCAGCCCTGACTGGTTTGGCTCAGCGGTTGGAGCGTTGGCCTACAGGCCGAAGGGTCTCGGGTTCAATTCCTGGTCAAGGGCACGTACCTGGGTTGCAGGTTCCATCCTGG